TCTTCTAGTGGTCCTTCAATTTGTGATAGGCAAAAAAGCTCAAGGAACTGATGTAACACCCGAGCCCGAAAATTAGTTCGGGATGATGTTTACAGATTATGAATATATATAATTATTAAAAAAAATTTATTTTATTTTAATTTGATTGAATTTTTGAAAAAAAAAATTATGGACGAAATTAAAAATAATTTTGGGAAGAATGGGTGAAAATTTTAGTTCAGGTGGCTTTTTTTGAAAGAAAATTTGAAAATATGGGGTCAAAGTCTAATTAAAAAAAATTCGGCTACGTAGGACTACACAGTCAGCAGTCTCGACTAACCGGAGCGCGCCGCATGGCTAGACGCATTGGCGTTGGCGCCATGCCGGAGGCCACGTTGGCGATCTGTGTGCCCCGCGATCAAATGGCCCAGGATCGATCCTGCGAACGTGGACGATCCGGATCCGCTTCCCCCTTAGGTGCGATCGAGCAATCAAGATCAAACGCGATGAATGGTCCAGATTCATTTTCTCCTTAGGTGTGATCGAACGGTCAAGATCAAACGCGATGAACGGTCCATATTCGTTTCCTCATTAAGCGAGATCGAACGGACAAGATCGATCATGATGGACGACCCAAATTAACGCGAGATGGGTATAAATATTTCGCATCACACAGAACCCGAACCCTAGTTGCCAGCCCCCTACCCCCCTAGAGAAGAAGAACTAGATGTTGGAGAAGGAAGCCGACCGCCGAGCGCCGACCGCCTCCGCACCGGAGCCACATTCGATTGTCAAAAAAAGTAAAAATTCTCTTACCCACTCTAGAATTCGATTTCGAGCACCCCTGTGGCCATATCGAAGCAAAACAAATGGTAAGTGAGCTGAAAATCGCAGTCAAAATTCGGTGGAGCCGCGGCGGTCCAAAACTTGCAACCTCTTCCGATGAGCCCCTTTCCGGTTCCCGTTTCGTGTGATTTTCTCACCATTGTGTTCACCGTTTTATTTTATGAAGGAGGAATCCCAGCCCAAGAACGAGAGCTAGCGGAGCTGCTGCACCCGAAAACCCCACCACTAGTAGGTGTCAGTTTCTAAATTTTTTTGTCAACCGAGGCTCTTAATGTATTTTTTATAGGGATATGTGTAAAGTCGGTCGAAAA